GATGTAGCCTATTGTAGTAATGTTGTCTCTGGTCTGTGAGTGTAAATGCGTTCAGGGGGCGTGGCTTTGGACGGCGATTGCAGGAAGGGTGGGACGTTCGCTTTCAGTGCTATCAGGCTAAAGTTAGCATTTTCCAAGATCTCCTATTGTACCTTTAATTAGAATGAATGAATAAATGTCACTGAAACAAATTTTTCATTTTAGTCAAAAGTTTCTTGGCACAGCAGCTTTTCTGCAAACCATTAGGTTTGCAGAAAAGAAATATATCTTTATCACAGCAGGTGGAAAGATAAATTATTATAACGTGGTAAAAAGCATTTTTTGCTTCTTGCACTTGTACACTGTCCCTATTAAATAAACTACAAATAATATGTTTATATATATGATAAACTAAACCAGCTGCGTAATATCATATTAAAATACCAGTTTATACTTCAAAGATTTAACTTAAATTCAGGGTCTTATGGTGGGGTAAGTTAAAATGCTGGCTCAATTTGCCCCACAGCTGCCATTTTGAAATAAACCAGCTAGCTTACCAATTAAGGCTAATATTTATCTAAATGATTGAATATGTTGCTAAATCACCTATATGCGTAATAAATATTTTAAGATCTGGATGAATTTGCTTTGATGTATCAGCCAGTATATCTGATATGCTAAAATTTTACTTTGACAAGCCAAAAAGTGTTTTAATTGGGTGCTTTCCACTCCTCTCATGTGAAACGGGGTGGGTCAACTTACCCATGGGCTCATCTTACCCCAATCTCCCCTAAAGTTGTCTTTAAAATGAATGTAGTGTCGCAGACATGCTGTGGCATTTGAGACTGTGTAACAGTCCCTGAGGTGGAACTGGATTTCCTGGAGCAGTTCTCAAAGTGATGAGAAGCTGATGATGACGGGTCTGGATACTGTGGAAGATTTTTATTGGTCAAATTATGAATTGTTCAAGTATAATCATTGTGAATATAACCATTTATGTATCAAGTTATTTTACTATTATAATCGTGTATTTGCCTGTGTGCAGACAGGCCTGCATAGGAATGGCATAGAAGTCTATATGAGGGGCAGCCACATGGTGGGGCTGCATGTCCTGTTTTGACATTAGACAAAATATATGATAGGGCCCTTACTTTCACGGAACATAAAATTAAAGGGGTCATATGATGCGATTTCATTTTTTCCTTTCTCTTTAGAGTGTTACAAGTTCTTGGCTGTCTGCATCTTGGTAGCAGACTGGTAACACAGCCAAAAATGGTAAACCATAACAAATATGTATGAAATATATTGAACACGCCTAGAGGAAAAACAGTATAAAAGACTGTCCAGACACAGACTCGGGAGCTTTTCTGCAGATCATCTCTAGACTGCATTATCTCTCTGATAATAAAAGTCAATTTTTCTGGCATCAAAACCCAAGTGTTCAAGAGTGATTCTTCATAGAAACGGCAAGAGCCACCACACTAGCCAGCCATATAAATGCAAGGCAGTAAGCTCATTGGCTGCATATGCTTGTGCCAAGTCGTTTAACCCTCTGGGGTCGACAAACATGGCCTAGAGGAAAAACAGTATAAAAGACTGTCCAGACACAGACTCAATTTTCTGCAGATTATCTCTAGACTGCATTACCTCTCTGATAATAAAAGTCAATTTTTCTGGCATCAAA